CCTTACTTGAGAAGAGATATACTGGCACTGGAGAGGGTGCAGAGGAGATTCACTCGGTTGATTCCAGAGTTGAGAGGATTGGATTATGAGGATTATACGCATTGGAATTCAGAAGAATGAGGGGAGATCTTATAGAAACATATAAGATTATGAAGGGAATAGATAAGGTGGAGGCAGGGAGGTTGTTTCCGCTAGCAGGTGAAACTAGGACTAGAGGGCATCGCCTCAAAATAAAGGGAAGCAGATGTAGGACTGAGGTCAGGAGGAACTTCTTCACCCAAAGGGTTGTGAATCTGTGGAATTCCCTGCCCAGTGAAGCGGTTGAAGCTACCTCACTGAATGTTTTTAAGGCAAGGCTAGATAAATTTTTGAACAGTAAAGGAATTAAGGGTTATGGTGAGTGGGTGGGTAAGTGGAGCTGAGTCTCAAAGATCAGCCATGATCTTATTAAATGGCGGGGTAGGCTCAAGGGGCCAGATGGCCTACTCCTGCTCCTAGTTCTTATGTCCTTATGTTATAACTATCCCTTGGAGGTCAGAGCCATTGTGCGGTAGTCATTGAGGCACATTGCAAATACTTTCTTTGGTACCAGGATGATGGTGGTCTTCTTAAAGTAGGTAGGGACTTCAGATTGTAGCAAGGACAGGTTGAAGACGTCAGCAAATACTCCCGCCAGCTGGTCCACACAGGATCTGACTGCACGGCCGGGGAATCCACCTGGGCCAGTCGGTTTCCGTGGGTTCACTCTCAAGAAGGCCAATCTTACAGTGGCAGCGGTGACTAAGGGAACAGTTGCATTGGAGGCTGTTGGCGCAGGGGACACTGTTTTACTGCCCTCAGTTCGAACAAAGCGTAAAATGCACTGAGTGCATTAGGGAGGGATGTATTTTTGTCTGCTACTCTGTTCAGCTTCATTTTGTAACCCATTATTCATACAGACCTTGCCAGATGACAGGTATCTGTGTGGTTAGTTTGGGATTCCAACTGAGTCTGGTATTGCCTCTTGGCATCTCCAATAGCCTTGCAGAGGTCATATTTGGATTTCCTGTCAAAGGTCCAGGGTCATCTGACTTGAATGTCGCATGCATGGTCTTCAGTAGGCAATGGATTTCCCAGTTCATCCATGCTTTCCGGTTGGGGAACATATGGATGGACTTTGGCACGAAGTTCTCTATAAGCTTGCTAACAAAGTCCATGACAATGGTAGCATACTCATCTAGGCTGGCCGCTGAATTCTTGAATATAGACCAGTCAACTGATTCCAAGCAGTCCTGTAGAAGCTCTTCCACTGCCTCAGACCAGCATTGCACTATGTTTGGTACTGAGTCCTCATGTTTCAACTTCCAGGTGTTCAACAAGGTACCTCAAAAATTTAAGACTGGAGGTAAGAGCCCATGGTGTTGGAAACAACATATTGGGCATGGGTAGAGAACTCACTAATGGACAGGAAACAGCGAGCAGGGATAAGAGATTCTTTTTCAGGTTGACGACCTGGGATCAGTGGAATTCCACAAGCAGCAGTGCCGGAACTGCAACTGGTTACAGTATACATTGATGACTTAGAGGAAGGAAGTGAATGCACTGAACCGAAATTTGCAGATGACACAAAGATAGTTGGATAGTCAAGTTGCAAGAGTGACAAAAACAGTTTGCAGACAGACAGTGATGGGTTAAGTGGATAAAAAATTGGCACAAGGAGTATGAGAGAAAATTTGAAATTGTTTGTTTCAGAAGGGAGAACAAAGTAACAGTATTATTTAAATGGAGATAATCTGCAGAAAGCTGCAATACAAAGGAACTTGGGGGTATTCACACATGAAACAGAAAGCTAACACACAGATGAAGTAGGTAATCAGAAAGGTTCATGAAATGTTGGCCCTTATTTCAAGGGGATTGGAGTACAAGAGTGGGGAAGTCTTACTCCAACTGCACAAAAGGTGCCAGTGAGACCACATCTGGAGTACCGAGAGAAGCTTTGGTCCTCTGATTATTAAAATACAATTAATTTGTTAAAGTCAGTTCAGAAAAGGTTATCTAGGATGATGCTCAGTATGGAGGAATTGTCTTATAAGCAAAGACTAGGCAGTTTGGGACTATATTCATTGGAATTTAGAATTTAAGACTGAGATGAGAAGGAATTTCTTCATTCAGAAGGTTGTCTCTTTGGAACTCCTTGCCACAGAGCAATATTGGGGGCACAATGCTTATGTTTAAGGCTGAAATAGATAGATTCTTGATCAACAGGGAATCAAGAGTTATGGGGAGAGGGTAGAAAAATAGATGCATCAGCCATGATCCTCCTGAATGATGCAACAGGCTCGAGCAGCTGAACGCCTATTCCTGTTACTATTTCTCATGGTCTCCTAAAAGTCTCTTTTAGGGTTTTCTATGTGTTCGCTTTAAAAGTTCTCTTGGACACATTAAAGAATTCTCCTCCCTCTAAGCCTTTCACACTGTGTCTATTCAGGTTAACACTGGGGAAGGCGAAATCCCCAAACATTATTACCTTTTTAGTATTACACTTCTAATATTTATTTGCATATTCATCTTGCTATGTCTCCCCAACTGCTTGGGTGTCTATAGTACATCTCTAAAGCAATTGCCCCCTTTTTAAATTCTACCCATGTGGCCTCATTTGAGAAAGCTTCTGAGAGATCTACTTGCAAGACTGCTTGCATTAAATGCACTTAAATGGCAACCTCAGAGAATCCCAGGGATTCTTGGAAGTGTGAAACTTCCAAGTTTATTGCAATACAGGCCCTACATTTAAACAAAAATTAAAATAAGTGCAATTCAGCTCTGCAATGCTCCCTTATATAATGGTCAACCAATAACATCAGAGCAACGTAGAGCGAAATTACAGCAAACTTGGGAAATTTCACATGGTTTCCTTTTGATCTCTGGGATTCCCCGAGGTTTCCACCTAAGTTTTAGTTGACAATTAGAGAAACCCTAATGGAACTTTTCAAGTTACACAATAAGCTAACGTTAATGTTTTTATTTCAATATTTAGGACTTCATATTTTGCAATTTGAATAAGTGATTAGAACAAATGTTCTTGCACCAAAGTCATACTTTTGAAACTAATTTAAGCTGTATAAAGTCATAACATTTTGACGCATCCACTGTTATACTACATCATTTTCAAACGCGATGCAAAAGAGCACATAGGAATGCAAGACAAAGCAATCAGTATGTTATAATCAGCAAAACAGAATACCATAATACTTCTGGAAATATCTGAATATGTACGCTGTCCCTTACAGCATTCAAAGTGTAATTTAAAGAATGTTAAATTGGATGGAGAAAGCAGACAATCTTACTGCATTCATCTTCCAAGAGAGATAAGCTCAGGATTGCTTTACCCACCTATGTACAGAACTGGGAAGCATATAATCGTGATAAATCCAAGGGGTAGCTATGTATCCTCCAATGCTTCTAATTTCATGATTGTTGCATGCAACAGAGTTGAAAATTAATGAAAGGATTGTCAGTGATCAGACTCAAACCTCATGATAGCACAAGAAGCCTGCAGTTCTTCAATTTATTACAATACATCAAGAACCACTGATGTCAGAAAACATCTTTGGTAGTTTTCAAGCTCTAGGGTGATCCTTCTTTTGGATAAAAACTACAAGCATGCAAACCTCAAACAGAATTCCATACAGAAGCTAAGTTAGTGATTTTAGACACTTTGGAATATATTGCTAACCTTCTTAGCTAAAGCAGCTATTCAAGATCACATGTATGAAGTAATGCCAAAGGCTTGGGCATCAGCTGAACAACTCAGTACAGAATTCACTTCCCCAACATTGTACATCAAAACTGAAATGAACCCCATGCAGATAGCCAGTTGGTCAGAAGTCAATTCAAGCATCCTCTCTAGACCTCATGAACACTCATACGTTTGAAGACAGTATTAAAATTAGCTATGACTTCAGCCAACTGAAAAATAATTTAATAAAATTACTTGCCCTTATACGTGAAATTAGTCCTGCCCTCACTACATAATGCAACTTTGAAGCAGCTCTTGACCACACTGAACAGTATTCAAGAACCACCTCTTGCAAGCAAAATCCATTAACATAGTGCTTTGTACTTCAAATTTCTGGTGCTTACATTATAGCACAGAACAGAGTGCAGAAGGGTCCCAACCCGAAACGTCAGCTTTCCTGCTCGTCTGATGCTGCCTGGCCTGTTGTGTTCCTCCAAGTCCACATTGTGTTATCTCTGACTCCAGCACTGGCAGTTCTTACTATCTCATAGTGCAGTCTTGGCTGTTCTGCACACAATTACCCCATAAACAGGCCCAGAATAATTAGAACTCTATAAATTCAGCGCGTGCAAGTGGTAACCAGTCATCCTATGCGGGTATAAGCAAGACCACAGAATTAAGTTGTCATAGTTCCAGAGGCTGCACTCTCATTACAGAATGACAACAGGTGATGACTTTAACCGGAGGGTTACCACAACCTGAGGCAAGGATTGAGGTTAGGACAGCAGGGCCTTCGTGGTGACCCCAGCTGGTACAGGAATTGAACCTACGCACAGCACTCTAATACAGGTAGTCTTCAAAAAATTAATTACAGCATGTACATCTGGCAGTATAGGTGCCGTTGATGCAGAATAAATCCTTCAAATTTTTGATTTTTGTTTTAAAAAGTGGAACTGCCCAATAATGCCCAAAAAACCCTGCAGATGCTGAAAATCAGGAAAAACAAAACAGAAACAGCTGGTAAATCTCAGCAGGTCCAGCAGCATCTGTGGAGGGAAAGCAGAGTTAACATTTTGGGTCCAGTCACCCTTCTTCATAACTGATCCAAAATGTTAACTCTGCTTTCTCTCCACAGATGCTGCTGGACCTGCTGAGGTTTTGCAGCAATTTTTGTTTTTGCTACTCAATAACAGCAACTAGTTCAAAATGCATTGTAATGCCACTTGCTAAGAACAAGCAAACAATTTGAACCATCTCCAAAATAAGTTTTAAAAAAAGCACTTACTGCAGTTGTGGTACGATTCCTGAACTCTCAGAAGCAGGGGTAGCAGGGGTTATTGGTGTCATAGGAGTCATTGGTGAGGGATAATGAGATGTGATGCCTGGTAAAGTAGTTGTGGTCATTGTCTGTGAATGAAACAACTGTGGTGGCTGGCTGGAAGTTACTTGAGTTGACAGTTGAGATGTCGTGGACTGCTGTGCTGCCTGCTGTTGCTGCCTTTGTTGCTCTTCCAAGAGAGAGATGCTATTGGAGCTTTGAATGGGCTGTGGAGTCAGGCCAGTGCCGTATGGCATCATGGGACTGAACATGGGCAATCCTGGTGTCATGGCACCCTGCAAGGGAAAAAAAACATAACTGAATGTCATACATACACACACTTGCAAATATTAAGAGCGAAACCTACAAAGCCTCACCCCTTCCTACCTCTCTATTACCACCGCAGTATTACAACTCTCCAAGATCTTCGTAGGTTTCTAATTCTGAACATCCCCAATTCTCATCATTTCACCATTGGCAGCTCTGCCTATAGCTGTAAATGCCCAAGCTCCCGAATTCTCTCCATAAATCTTTATACATTCCTAAACTCCAAGAGAACTTAGCCCTTTCACCAAGTGTCTGGACATCTGTCCTAATATCGTATGCTCCCCAAGTGTCAAATATGTTTTGAAATAAAATGAAACTTGTTGCTCTGGTAAGTTAAGTGCAACTGAGTTGAAGTTGGCTGATCATCGATCTGACCATCAAGAACCAACTCCGGTGTTGAGGTTTTCTTGAAGCAGAGCCTTTTTACCAGACTGTAAAGGAATTGAAATCAAAATAGTAAATGCATTTCACTTTGTACAGACCACAGGTAGACTTTCACTTCAAAGAGGTTTAAAAACTGACTTTATATTTAAAATACATGCCAATTATTTCAGTTTTCTTCCCTATCCCTGAATATGTTTACTGTTTTCAGATATACAGTATATCTATAATGGGGCAACCTGTACAACATGTCCCAGACACTAACAATCACAGGCCAGTTTGACAGAAAGTGCCCTCACTGCTTTTCAATGACAGTTCTCATCCCATTCTAGTGCTGAACTCCCCCAGCATTACAATGTTAGTTACTGATCCATTTTTCATGACAAAAGGAATGGATTTACTCAAAATAATGGTGAAATTACTGAACATCCATCCAATAAAAATAATCTGACTTAAGTCAATATTCCAAAATTGTGGAATGGAATGTCAGAGCATTAATAAGCACCCAGGATTCAATTCAAGAAACAGGATTAGACTTATCTAGCTACTGTAAATCACAAGAACAAGATATCATCAAGTCAGTTTTGCCCTTCAATTCAATCATGTCTCATCTACATCTTAACTCTACCACCTGCCTTGGTTCTATAACCCTGTACACCCCTGCCTAAGAAAATAAAAAAAAGTCTCAAATCCACAAACTTAATTATGTCCAATTATAGTTCACTGTTGTTTCCAGTTAAATACTTGGCAGATGATAGCTCTATAAATATGCTATCAGTAATGCACAAAAAGTAGCAAGCAGCTGCTCTTGCTAATTCTGCTTTTAACAAAGTCTGACCAAGCCATTTAAACAAAAGCTGTTATAAATGCAATTACCAGTGCAAATTATTTTCCATGTCTGCTCTGTATATTATCTGCTGAGACACTCACCCATGCCTTTGTTACATCAAGACCTGAACATACAACACATTCCTGGCTGGTCTCCCTTGTTTTCTTCCTGGCTTAATACCTTCTTATTATCAATCTGTGCCTAATGTTGTTCTATAATGCACATAGATAGCAAAGTGGAGCATTTAAGTCATTAAAAAAGGTAGTATATGAATGCAAAATGTTAATGCTTTTTCTCAAATTTTGCCACCTGCATCTTATTTTGTTTTAGCTGAATCTATTGTGAATGCAGTTTAAATATAAATAGCATTGATTTTGAGGCATTTTATTTTATTAAAAAGATAATCCACACCAACAGTAACATGTCCATAATAACATAAAACTATACAAATTAGCAAAAAGAACGTGGAAAAGCAAAATATTGCAGATGACCACAAGATGTAGGAGCAGAAGTAGGCCATTCAGCCCACTGAGTTTGCATTGTTATTCAATGAGATCATGGCTGATCTGATAACACTGACTTCCACTTTCCTGTAATTTCCTCATAACCCAGGCTGATTTTTAGTCTATTTCAGCCTTCAATATACTTAACAATACAGCTTCAACAGGCCACTCAGTAGAGAATTCCATAGATTCACTGCCCTCAGAAAAAATTCCTCCATCTCTGGGGACACCTTATTCTAATGATTTGCCCTGTGGTCATAGACTCTGCTATGGGGGCAAAACAACTTTCTGCATCTACCCCATCAACTCTCCTAAGAATCTTATGTTTCAATAGGGTTGCCTCATTCTGCTAAAATGCCAGTAAGTACAAGGCCAAACTACGCGAATTCCATATAAGATAGTTCCTCCATACCTGGTATCAACCCAGTGAACTTTTTCCAGACTACCTCCAATGCCGGTATGGTTTCTCTTCGATAAGATGTATAAAACTGTTTACAGTATTCCAGCTATGGTCTGACTAGTGCTTTTTGTGGTTTTAGCAAAATCTCTCTACTTATGCTCCATTCCATTCCTTTTGGAATAAAGGGCAACATTTACTTCCATTTACTTTCCCCTATTACCCAAGAAACAGATGCTTAATTTTTGACGTATACACAAAATCCTGATTTTTGTAGTTTTTTGCAGTCTTTGTCCAACTTAATAACGTTCAGCTCCTCTACGCTTCATGCCAAAGTGCATAACTTCATATTTCCCCACATTGTATTCTACTTGTTAAGATTTTGTCTACTTGCTTAACCAGTCTATATCCAGCTGCAGAATGTTTGTTGAATTAAAGGTCACGATTGGTATCCTGTGTAGCAGTCAATCCTCTACTTTCAATATAGTAGACCAGTTCAACTCCCCTTCATTTAATCAGCATAGTTTGTTTTCTCGTTCCACTTAACAGCTCATCTCAAGCCATAGCTAGCCTGGTCAGCTCCAGTATATGGCAACATTCCATCATTGATCTGCTTCTATTCTTCATTTATAGTTTTGCCTCCCACAGCCATCAAGCACCAATATCAGTCCAAAGCAGGAATAGGGTACAGGGTGGGTCTGGGTGGGATGCTCTCTAGTGAGTCAGTGTGGACTTGATGGTCCAAATGGCCTGCCTCCACACTGTAGGGATTCTATTCTACTATATCAACCACCATTAATACTCAAACTAACACTTAACTCTAACTCAACTGCAACTGCTGTAACAACACAGTTGAACAACAGAAAATCCAAAGCATCATATATGAACACTGAAATTTCTAATGGGAATCAATTACTAACTCAGCTGTAAGCATCCTCAGACTGTACATAATGAATAATTTAGGTACTTTATCTGATCTGGTAGAGTTTCAAAGCTACACACAATTTAATAAAACAGTACTGTTGACACCATTATCATATTAAACATCTTCCATGTTCTTCCCACTGATCTCTCCTGCTTCAGCCGACATAAAGTACAACTCACTGGGCACCTTCATGGCCAGCATTTATCACAATGAAACAACACCCCAGTCCTTGTAATGCTCCACTGACTCTTCTGGAACTGAAATATGTGGTCCTCATTTTGAAATGTTTTGGCTTTAGTTCTGTGGTCTTCAGCAGATTTGGTTAACTTTTCTGGTTTTAATTTACTATTCACGACTATTCACTCTTGGCAATCAGTAGTTCATTCAGTCACTATCCTAAAGATCATTGTTACATCTCCTTCAACTATTAAAATTTCTCAAAACCATTTCAGGTACTACTCAACTTCTTTCTTGGTATAATCCACTGCAAACTTTGTAGTGCTAGAAAAGCAACAGAAAGTTTCAATGCACTTACCGGGGGTGATGATAACCCTTGTGCGTAGGGTGGCAGGCCATTGTTTGACTGATCCATGGCTGGTGTACGTGGTTGACAACCTCACAGGATGAAGACAATCTGTGTCCTTAGTCACTTCAAAAGCACGACTTAATTATAAAGAAACCTCAGCTGTATCTCATTCCCAAGCTCTGCACAGTCAATCAGTAACTGCAACCGGAAATTTTTTTTTACTGAGGATCCAAATCTGAAAATAGATTGTATGTAGATAAGAGGAGAGATGAGCAAAATGGAAGGCATGGGAAAGAGGGGTGGGGACAATGGGTGCCATTCTAGTGCAAAGGTTATAGAGTCAGAGATATACAGCATGGAAACAGACCCTTCAGTCCAATTCAATGACAGCCAGATAGCCTACATAACATAGTCTGATTTGCCAGCATTTGGCCCATATCCCTCTAAACCCTTCCTATTCATTTACCCATCCAAATGCCTTTTCAATGTTGTAATGGTATCAGCCTCCACCACTTCCTCTGGCAGCGCATTCCATACACACACTATTCTCTGCGTGAAAAAGTTGCCCCTTGGGTCCCTTTTAAATCTTTCCCCTCTCACCCTAAGCCTATGCCCTCTAGTTTTGGACTCCCCCATCACCCCAGGGAAAATACCTTGTCTATTTACCCTATCCATGCCCCTCATAATTGTATAAAACTCCATTACGTCACCTCTCAGCAAAAAATAGCTCCAGCCTATTCAGCCTCTCCCTATAGGTCAAATCCTCCAACCCTGGCAACATCCTTGTAAATCTTTTCTGAACCCTGTCAAGTTTCACAACATCCTTCCTATAGCAGGGAGACCAAAACTGCACACAGTATTCCAAAAGTGGCCAAACCAATGTCCACTGCAGCCACAACATGAACTCCCAACTCCTCTATTCAAGGCAGTGACCACTAAAGGCAAGTATACTGAATGTCTTCTTCATGATCTTATCTACCTACGACTCCACTTTCAAGAAACTGCACTCCAAGGTCTCTTCGTTCAACAATACAGGACCTTACCATTAAGTGTACAAGTCATGGCCTGATTTGCATTTCCAAAAATGCAGCACCTCACATTTATCTAAATTAAATTTCATCTGCCACTTCTCAGTGCCATCTGATCAAAATGCCATTGTTCTCCGAGGTAACCTTCTTCACTGTCTATTACACCTCCAATTATGGTTAATAAATTTGCAGATAACACCGAATCTCCTACATTCACATCCAAATCATTTATACAAGTGACAAAAAGCAGTGGACCCAGCACCGATCCTCGTGGCATACCACTGGTCACAGACCTCCAGTCTGAAAAGCAACCCTCCACCACCACACTTTGTCTTCTACCTTTGAGACAGTTCTATATCTAAATGGCTAGTTCTCCCTGTTTCCATGTGCTCTAACCTTGCTAACCAGTCTACCATGTTCAGCTTTGTCAAACGCATTACTGAAGTCCATATAGATCACATCCACCACTCTGCCCTCAATACTCTTCATTAGTTCTTCAAAAAAAACTCAATCAAGTTAGTGAGACACTGTTTCTCATGCACGAAACCATGTTGACTATCCCTAATCAGCCCTCGCCTTTCCAAATGAGAGTAAATCCTGTCCCTCAGTATTCCCTCCAACAACTTGCCCATCACCAATGTCAGGCTCACCAGTCTATAGTTCCCTGCCTTTTCCTTACCATCTTTCTTAAATAGTGGCACCATTGCAGCCAACCTCCAGTCTTTTGGTACCTCACCTGTGGCTATCAATGATACAAATATCTCAGCCAGAGGCCCACCAATCATTTCCCTAGCTTCCCACAGATTCTAGGGTACTGATCAGGTCCCAGGAATATATCCACCTTTATCTGTTTGAGCCATGCACCAGCTCCGCCTCTCTAATATGGACATTTTTCAAGATGTCGGTATTTATTTCCCCACGTTCTATATCTGCCATATACTTCTCCACAGTGTACACTGATGCAAAATACTTTTAGTATATCTCCCATCTCCTGCGGTTCCACACATAGGCAGCCTTGCTGATCTTTAAGGGGCCCTATTCTCTCCCTAGTTATTTATAAAATCCCTTTGGATTCTCCTTAACCCTATTTACCAAAGCTATTTCATGCCTTCCTTTTGCCCTCCTGATTTCCCTTGAGTATGCTCCTACTCTTCTAGGGATTCACTCAATCTCAGAGATAGTAGGAACTGCCGATGCTGGAGAATCTGAGATAACAAGGTGTAGAGCTAGATGAACACAGCAGGCCAGGCAGCATCAGAGGAGCAGGAAAGCTGACCTTTCGGGTCTGGACCCTTCTTCAGAAATG